CAACTGTGCTCAGAGAACCGAGGCCTTACGACCAAACGTAAGCCACCGGATTGTCTTAGGCTGACAGAGCCGGGTTGCTGAGTAGGTCCTGATCTACTTAACCACCTAGTCGCACCGAAATGGCCAGGGGGTGCTTATATCCTGCGGCTACCTACCCATATGGAACGGACGGTAGGCCCCCCTACCGTCGCGCGCCCAAAGTACCGCCCCAGCGGCCGTTCTGACTATCTGGAAAGGGGCTTAGGCACCTCCCCTTCAACATTGAAACATCCACCGGGGCCCCCCTCTATCCGTGCGGCCACCTGCGGGCGCTTCTGTGCCGACGGCCCATGGCTTACCTTTGACTGGCGACGGTTGGGGCTGAAATGCATCCCCTTGCTCCGCTCTTTGTGTGCACACCCTATTTCCACCCTCCTGATCCTGTTTACTTAGGCACCGCAGCCACCAGACCCGCTCGTTCAGCCTCCACCCATTTGCCCCCTGCCAGCACCGACATCGACGGTTGGGGCTGAAGGCGATCAAATCACACCGCAGTTGGGTGTATTCCCCTATTTATGGCTCTCTGATTTCATCTCAGTAGGCACAAAACCCATCAAGCTCTGCCCTTCATGCTGCAGCACATTTCAGCTCTGGCTGGGTGGGCGATGCACACTGGAAATTCACTTGGAAGGTTCCGCGCCCTTTGGGGACACCCAGGGGCATCTGTTTGATGACAGTTTACCAGCCACTGAACCTCCCACCTGCCATGCTTGTGTTTCTACAGAATTACTATTATTCTTGAATATATACCCCTTGGGGATCCGACTGCTGTTGCTTAGCCAGCCATGCTGGGAATGATTCCACTCCCTCATTCAAGTGTTTAGAGTCATCTTTGACAGGCCCTGAAGATGCCAGCACTGTCTGCTGGTTGTCGAGCTTAAGTCCCATGTGCACAAGTGCGGTATATATTGCCACCGCTTGATCTCAGTCAATTCTGAAGCAATTCAAGTCAGGCTTGGTGCCTTCCCCTCTTTCATGAGTCTGAATATGTTTTCCTATGCTCCGGAGCTGCTAAAACCTCTGTCCCAGGCTCCAGATCTAGGAATGTCTTGCTATCTTCGTCTCAACACATTCCAAGACACAGTTTGCACTGGATTAAGACAGATCTATGCTACAAACGAGTGTGGGGCTAAGGGAGTGTACAGGAAGGACAACTAGGGCAGGTATTAAAGAGAGACTAACCAATCCAAGGGAAAGGGATGGACAAGAATGTGATTAAAGGGGAAGTTAGGGGATGGAGCCAAGTCAAAGAGCACAGTCCAAGAAGAGCAATGCAGTCAGAAGGCAAGCTACACTACCGTTGAGTAGTCACCAAGTCGTCTTCATCCTCAGACTCTGGCTCTGTGATAGAGTCCTCATCAGCAGGCTGTACCTTGCTACTTCCCTCCCCTTTATCCTCCTGATCAACATCCATACCCTCACCCGCAGCCTTAGCCTTCTCTGCCTTGCGCAACTGCGCCCTCTGCCACCTCGCTGCCTTCTTCGCAGCTCTCTCCACCTCCCGCTTCACCTTGTTCTCCTTTTTCCTTTCTTTCTGTGCCTTGCTTCTCCCCATACGATATTCAGCCCGGCTTGCTTCCTTGCTGAGTTTCTTGGCTCTCAGCAGTTCATCAGTTTCTTTCTGCATAATTGCATCACATAGTTTACCCCGCCCATGGTGGCATGCCTTGATATCATTGAGGATCTTCTTAGCATCACTCGGAGTCAGTTCCGAGATATCTAGGCCCTGGATCGCGTCCATATCCAGAGCCCGCCTCTTGTCCTCGGGAAGCTCATCCTCTGGATAGAAGCGTTTGCGAGCATCAGCCGTAAGGCATATCCAGTGCAAGACTGCCCACTGAACACCTGGTTTTGCACTCTGAAGCATAATTAATATGAGCACCCCCACAATGCATTAGAATGACTTACCTTGACCTGCGATGTTGGTTGAGGCCGCCTCAGAATGATATCATCAGGCTTGGTGTCAGGTGGTGTAACAAGTTTCACTGGAACCAAGTCAGTTACAAATAAGCTCGACTAGAAAAGAGTTAATACTCACTACAAGTCGGACAGACTCCATCTTCCAATGACTCATTTGATGCGTAGCATAATATTGAGCCTACATAATCCACCAATTCCTGTGCTAGCCTATCCTTGCGCACATTGGATGCATATGCCTTTGGCTGGAAGGTTGGATATGGCTGATCGAGTGGAGTCGGTTTGATGTTTTTATAGTGCTCATAGATATTCGCCTTGTGTTTTATAGCCCTAGCCTGTGCCACAGCATGGGCTTTCTTCCTTGCGATCGATGGCTCCACATTCAGCTTTCCTGCCGGAGCTGCAGGAGTAATTTGAGGTGGAGGGGTGGGAGCAGGAGTGTGAGCACTTGGAGCAGGAGCTGCAGGATCTACAGTTGGAGACCCCTCCTCCTCTGGTGTGCTATCACGGGGCCTCCGGATCACAACAGGCATTGTACGCCGACGACGGCGATGTTTGGGAGCATCAGGAGTGGGTGGGGCAGGAGAAAGAGAGCTAGCAGCAGATTCTGAAGCAGGATGAGAAGCACCAGACTGAGCAGGAGAAGTATGAGCAGAAGTAACCGGAGAGCGGGAATCAGACATTAGTGACTAGCTGGTAAACTATCAGACTAAGAATGTGCTACGAGACGGCAGAAACAGAGAGGACAGAACGAGAAATTTTCATTTGGTTGAGTTTCGACGACGATTGCCTAAAGCGGTCACACAGCCACACGCGCGCGGTGGCGGCAGTGGCGGCGGTGGCGCGACAGCAAAGTCGCTCGCGGATGCCGGCACACACGAAATTGCGCCTCGGTAAGTATCTCATCATACTCAGCGGGTATGAAAACCCTCGGATCCGTGTTGAATTGATCCTTTTTTATGCTGTAGAGCCAGAGCGAGCCAGCCTCGGAGACGAGCCGACGCGCGCGAGACGCTAAGTCCCGCGTCGTGCTCTGGCTTGGTTCCGGCACTCTCGACGCCGCTGCCAACTTTGGGATGGAATGCTTGGGTGGCGGATACGATAGATGGAGGGAATGTGAGCTGAGGACAAGGGCTAAAAGTAAGCAAACAGTGTAAACTTCTATGTTATATTGTTTGATACTAGGGGCTGGCATGCCCGCCGCGCGGATCGACGTGGGCGGGTCTCACCGGCCCCGAATGTCTATTTAACAGGTTCACTGCCTTCTAATAGGTGGTGACTCCCTGCTGGAGGAAGCCTGGACCCGTACGATCACAGCAAGACCGCCGCGCGCGCCCCCACTCCCCTCGCGGTCCCCCCGATGTCGGAATCCAGAACGCCGCCGCGTTCTGGGTTTCGACATCATTCTCGACTCTGCTCTACCCCAGGAAGCTAACGACACTGGCGCCGCGCAAGTCGGCGGCGCCGTTGTTCTTTAATTTCGTTTTTTCTGTTTTTTACACCTTCTGCCCCTCCGCCCCCTCGCTGTTTTCCTGGTCGCCTATCCTCGGATAGGAGGCCGTTTTCTGACTCCCCTGGGAGTCAGGACGACGACGAGACGCGCGCCTTGAGTGTGCGACGTCTCGTCGTCGGGTTATGGCCGTTTCTACTCGGCCCCTTCCCCCCTTCCCTATACCCGGCATTTGCGACGGACCCGAAGGCGCCAGGTAGGCGTCTTTGGGTCAGAACGCACCTCCTTGTGCTACACTAGCGCGAGGAGGTGCGTTCTGAGCTGTGGGATGACCGTCGACGCCGTCGACGCCGTCGTCCCCGCGCGCGCGTCACCCGACGTCGAACAACAGAACGCGGGTGCGTTCTGTTGTTCGATGTCATTTACGGGTGGGCACTACTCCCTGAAGCTGTGGCAGAAACGGGTGCACATATCTGTGCACCCGTTCTGCCACAATCTTCGAATTTCTGTTTTACCCTTACCGACCCCTCCCCGCCCATCCCTCCTTCACCAGGCCGTCCGCTGTCAAGCGGGCGCCTGTTCCTGGCTTGTACGCATGCCAGGACGTCGGCGAGAGCAGAATGACCCAATCGTTCGCCCTCGTCGACGTTGTTTCGCACTTTTTGTTGTCCTCCACCCCCCTCTCCCCTCACAACCCTGTCCCGGCCCCGGATCGCCCAGGGCAGACCAGGGTTTAACGCCTCCGGTCCCCTACACCTGTATAGAAGTGCGTCCGGCCACCGCGCGCTGTCCCGACCGCTGGCGGCGCCGCCGCCGCCGCCGTCGCCCTCCCCGACGGGCCCTTCGCGCCGACATCAAATCGTACCGCCCTGCTCTAGTTTTGGGTGTTTCGGGATTGTGGGAGGGGTAGTAACACGACGCTGCATGCGTCTTTGCCATCAGGTAAGTATTCAATATTCTATCGAATTGTTTCTACCCCCCTCCCCGCCTTCCACCAACCTCCCTCTCACCGGCCCCGGAGAGCGCGCGAACTCACGCGTTTCGTCGGGGTCGTGTTCCTACTACCCACATGCATGCTCTCCGAGCATGGCTCACTCCTCCGACCCCCACCGCCGCCGCGAACTTCCACTCGCCATCCCCGACATCCCGGATCGCGCCGACGCCGAAACGGCTCGCCCCGCCTAGACGCGGGGTGCTCCTTGCTCGTACAGAGTGTAGGAATGCGACGCCGCAAGCGTCCAAGCAATCGGGGAAGTAGTTCATTTTCTACGGTTTTATTTCTTTTTTTTCCGTCACCTTCCACTCCGAGGTCCCGCGCGCGGCGTGACTGCGGTTCGTACACCGTAGTCATGTCCACTGTATGTTATGATATAGTGTAGTCTATAGTACATGCTAGTCCATATCCTGTATAATAGCAAAACACGAATGACTTGTGCCAGCACTGTTGCCTCTAGTAGGCTGCGACACGGTATATAGGAACTAAATGCACCTAGCAAGTAATGTTGCCATAGTCTAACGGAAATGTGAGCCTTGCGATTGCGGGATTATAGAGGCAATGGCTCGAGCCTCCGGGTTCGAGTCGAGCCAGTGCTGTCGAGATATGAATCTTTAATGACATCCCTACTCCAATAGACTTAGTAATCCCTTCCCACAGTCCATTCTCTGCTATATCTCCTTTCCTATTCTCTCACTTCTCTTCATTTCTATTCAATTCTCTCTATTTTGCGAGTTTTCGAGTTTTTGTTTGCTCTTGTTTGTTCCAAGTTCGAGTTTTTGCACAGCTTTAAAGTTTTCCTCTCTCTCTCTGACCACCACAGGCTCAAGTCAGATATACACTCAGAAGGTTTATCAAACCATAGGCACTTCATTTGTTTGACTTTATTTGCTAGAATTTCGAGTTTTGGCTCTTCAATCAAGGTCATTTCAGTCACTCTGATAATTTCCTGCTATACAATGTCAAAGTATGTTCCCTGGGCTTCTTTGTGGGGTCTTGCTGAACTGGTGTCATTCTAGAGTGAAATGCTCCGTGTGTGGTATGGCTGTGAAGATGCTGAAGGGCCATATGCAAGATTGCCATACCCTGGAAAACAAAATTAAACTATGTGGTGTGTAAACTATTCCTAATCGATACATTGACTACAATTCTGGCAATAGATAAAACCATAATAATTCAGCGAGACTCTGATACGGCAGCTTTACGGTGTCCAGTGCCAGGATGTGGGACAATGCATGTGCAGCTACCCGGTATGAAGGCTCACCTTAGGTTGGAGCATAAGGACTATGTTCCACATAGTCCTGATAATGTGCAACCTGCTTTGGTTGAGAACGTGGCTCAGGATATGATGGATATTGATTCCAATGAGGTTGACGCCCATTCTGATGCTGGTCAATCTGGTGTTCAGGACTTTGTTGCACCACAAAAGGCTGCAGAAAGGGCCCACTCAGCTCACAGCTCTACTCCACTGCATAGTCTATCTCCTGCTCTTCCAGATGATACTGTACTGCCACACCCTGCTCGCACTCAGCCTCCGATGCCATCCTCGGAGAATCGCCTGATCTCCACCCCTCTGCTTGATCGACTTGGCTTACGTATCCATGCGTACTTGAAGGTCTTGATCTGCGTTGGCTGTGAGGTTTGCTGGATACCTACGGCGGTGCTGACCCACGTAAAAGGCCATGGTGTCCAAGTTCGCAAGACTGATGCTCTGGACCTTGAAAAAGTGGTCATAGAGTACGACATCCGTCGTGACTATGATATCCTTCCCCCTGCTCCAGGTGGTGCTCCTGTGGCTGGCATCAAGGTTCGTGAAGATGCTTACTGCTGCACTGGCTGTCCTGCTTGCTTTTGTACCCGCCGATCATTGCTAGGGCACTACAACAAGGAGCACAGCTCAATGAACATCTCTGCCAAGGAGAAGTGGAAGACAGGGTCTATTCAGACTTTGTTTCACCCAGTTCCCCAGAGGTATTTCCAGGTTGATACAACTGTGTTACAACATTCAAGCGAGACTGCATTTGACATCTTCATGCGAGTGGAGTTCCCGG